GCCAACCCATAGCAGGGCATGCTCACACACCTATGGGTCATTTGGTAACTCCAATTAACCTCAGCATGTTTTTGGATTGTGGCGGGGGGGGGCGGGGGGGCCAGACGACACAGAGAGGACAAACTCCACACACAGAGCCACGGTGGAGAGTCAAACCCTGGTCCCAGAGGTGTGAGGTAACAGTGTTGAGCACTGCAGCACCATGCCAGCCGCTTATGCTATAAAAATCTGTATTTTAAAAATCGGTTTTGAAAACAAAACCATCAGGCAACAGAAATGGCTGCACACGACTTCAAAAACGTATAAATGTGGACAAAGATGGGTTAGGCCTCTGCACTCTGGTAATGATTCCTAACGATTAGGTCCTTGTCACACAAGGGGACAGTTACCGCCGTAGGTAGCTGTCTGGCGATTGTTTCAGCCTTAACCAGATCAAACTCTGGGCTGGTCGCTTGACACTATCTGTGGCACCAAAAATGTGATTGTTGTGTGTGATGTTGGACAGGCAGGATGCTGATTGGCCCTCCTCTTCCCCATCTGCCAATAGGAAGGGCTTCTGCTGTCTCTCAGATAAGCCAGAACAAACACGTTGTTACACAGAGAGGACAATTAGTGTTTAACTGGAATAGGGGTGCTATGGCCGTATGGGACCTAGCACAGTTAAAATACAGAATTTTAATGTGGATATGTAAATACATCTCACAACGAAAATGAGAAACGTTAAGCAAAGAACGTGGGTTTTCTTGACGTTCCCACTTCTGCTGACATGTGAGGTCACATCCATGGTGGGGGGGGGGTCACCTGTACTTAGTGGGCTGTTTTATCTGCCTGTCTGGAACTAAAAAGGTCATGGCCTTCAGACCTGTCAATAAAAAGAGAGATGAGATAGGCGGTGAGGAGATGCCATGGTTTATAAGGGCCTCGAGACGGGGGCGGCTGTCCTTCCAGAAGGCTCTCTGAAGCTGGCTGGTCTCTCAGGGGTAGTTTGAGCAGAGGAGTGGCTCCCTGATGGAAAATTGAGGCAAACGGGGGCAAATTAAGGAAGCCGCCAGCCACCCACATGATTCTGAAGAGGGGAAGTGTACGGCATGGTCAAGTGAGCTCATGCCAGCCGGCCGTGTTTTACACGCTTCCGTCGGGGAGATAAACGGACAGAGGAGGGATGTTGGTGGGGAGATTTTATCGCTCATGTGCTCCATCTGTCTGAAATGTATGACTTTCCCACAGTCGGCATGCTGAGACTCACAGCTGCAGACGTATATATACATACATGCCTGTTATTTTTATTCAAGTATCAGAGGTAGAAATATGACAAGTGCACCTGGTTAGTCAGGAACACAAACCGAAACTGTAGACATAAAACACACTTAATTCACACTTTGTGGGTTTCAGGTTCCCAGAAATAATTTCCTACGTGCCTAATTAAAGCATCAGAGCGACAAACAGTCGAACTGGCATCTCCGGACTGAATTCCCAGAGCGGCACCGAGCCTTCAATATTCCTGGGGAAGCAGTCGGGAGACGCGGAACAAAGAGGAACGTGCAGGATGTGTGTGTGTGTGTTATTTTTCCAGCATGTCACTGCTCCTCGCTCCCGTAATTCCCCCCCACCTGCTACTCAGCATGCAGTATCCCTGTCTGCTGGTTGGAGGGGGGGTGGGGGGGCCGTGCTGTGGGATTCAGGCAGCGGGGAGAGGGTGATGGGTGTGTGTGTGGGGGGGGGGTTCTTGGCTGGGGAACCTTGCAGGTGAGCGTTGCTGAATCCCACTGGTGTGAGGTAAGGTACTCAGTGCATGTCTCATAATGCCAGCTGTACGGGGGGGCTTTAACTGGGCTTGGGGGGGGGGGCACCGCCACACCTAATGAGATGCCCTCATAGGTCCGTTAGAAGGGGGAACAGAGCCAACTGAAAGCAGGTAAGAACGGTCATTGATTTAGGAGGGGGAGGCTGCCCATTGTGTGTGGGGGGGTGGGGGGTGAGAAAATCAGAATAGTTAGCAGAACAGGTCATGTGACGTGATGACACTGGGGTGGCAGGGGCTGCATTGGGACGGCGCTGGCAGGATCTTGGCTCAGTCAGTTAAAAATTCCTCTTGGAGTAGGGAGTTTGGGAGGGGAGCAGGGGGCTGGGGAACACAGCATTCCGAAATGGTGAGACGACCACCCCCCCCCACACACACACACACAAATACACACAGACTTCGTTTCTGGGCAAACATGTTCCTTGTGACCGGAGTGTTGCTACAGCAACCTGACTCCTATGTGAGGTAGCCAGCAGCAAGCAAGTCTGACATGTTCCAAAGCAAAAGCCTCACAGAGTAACAATGATGGATCTGCGTGACCTGGGACTCAAGCTGGAAAGTCCTGACCTCAGACGGGTCACATTCCGAGCGCAGGCTTCCACCCACTCCGCACTGGGATGACGGGAGGCGTCCCAAATAACTTCCTGTTTATGAGGTGGGACTGGCTGATGTCGAGGCGCTGATACAATAATTAATGTGACACTGATTAATATTCCACCAAGGCTTCTTTCCCTGCTTTGGGTCCGTCGTCACCCTGGTGCGGATCTCATGTTGCGCTCTGTGCATGGAGCAGCCATCGCTATCACCTTTGACCTTTGGTCTGGTCATGTGGACCGCACCCCCTCCTGGGGGGGCTGACAGCTGTTTTAATAAGACGGCGCCCATCCAGGCTGCGGAGCATTTTCCTGCGAGTAAACAGGAGGGCTGACGTGTGTGTTCGCCGAGCGAACCCCCGACTGCGACGAGCGAGCCCCCGACCGCGACGAGTGAACCCCCGACCGCGACGAGCGAGCCCCCGACCGCGATGAGCGGAGCAGCCAGCCTGCCAACTGGGTGACGAAACGCAGTGCAAGCGTGTTCCTGGCGGTGCGGGTGCACGGTCCTGCTACGACTGCAGACAAAAGCACGGTGCACAGGCTCGCCTAAGCGCCGGTGAGTGAAGTCACTTGTAAAGCGAGTCGAGTGTCTGTTACATGCTAAGTGCAGTTTTTAATGCAGATTGCGATTGTTGTTTTTCTAAATAAAAGTGTCAGATTTTTTCTCCCCTCCCTACATTTATTTCCACAAACAGAAGTGCTACAAGTACGTTTAGCAGAGTAGAATAAATGAATTCACTACATTTTACATTCTTGCTTGTTTTTTTCCCATAAGAAGCACAATAAAACAAAGTAAACCAGTAAGGGAGAGAATGGGGGGGAGGGGGGGCGTCAGAGAAGAGGGTGGTCTCACTGTCACGCTTGTCCTCCCCCCAGACACACAGCACTGGGGTAATGAGCCCTCGTTAGTCCTTAGCTTCTCTTCATTGTCATCCTGCCATTACCATAATTATCTCTGGGTTTCACCTCTCCCAGTAACGAGACTCAGCCGAACACTGGCACAATTAAAATTAAAGTCTCTCATCCTCCCCCCCCCCCCCAGACAGCTGCAGAGGCCTCAGCATTTGAGGGGATGCTCCGTTCCTGCAGCTGGGAATGTCAAAGCCGTGTCCTCCTGAAACATTTCAGCATCTCAACATCTCCCTGAGCTTCTGCGGGCTTCAATTTACTGTGTTAAACAGCACAAGGAGATACCAATGAGTGTGTGTCACCCACGGTCCCACCAGGGGGGGTGGCTTTCAATGATAAAATTTGCTGAGCAGGATGGTTGTTGTCATTTTTCCCCATGGGGGTGGCATCCACACGCATCCCATTACACCTCAATCTCTGCTTGCCACGGGCAGCAGGTGAGTAGTGTCATTTTTAGTGAAGTTTCTCTAACTAGCCACTTGCCGAAATACCAGGGGAATCCTGATGCTGAGCTTCTGGGCCAAAATAACACCCAAGCTGACTGCAGATTTGGATACAGAGCATGTAGAGAAGCTTACTGAGCCGGCAGCCTCAGCTAAAGCCGCCACTGGGAAACAGAACAGTAGGACCGCAGAGCTTATTAAGGTATCAGGAGGCCGTGCTCATTTCTGAGGACCTCGGCGGCACAGCGGGCCGGAGCAAGCTGGGCGGAGCCGTAGGAGAGCTCCATTCCGGGGCCATGATGCTGACATAGCAGCGCTGGTCTCAAACCCCATCCACTAGCCGCTCAGCGCAAGATCCCCGCCAAAAAACAACGTAACCGACACGTAGCCGGGACCAGGTTGGGAGATAGACGTGGGGTCTGGCCCAGCTGTCTGACTGATCCCCACCCGGCATCTGACAAGTGCTTTCGTTTAAATAATCACATTAGGCGCAATTCCATCCCTTCAAAGATGGCTGAATAGGAGCAAATAAGACTGAAGAGAGAGTCAGGGATGATCGGGGGGAACAAAGGGAGGAGGAGAGAATAGGGTGGCTTATTTACGGCCAAGCTCCGGTCCCAAATAACCGCATTCCTAATCTCCCTCAACTGGAACCAATTTGTCTAATAATCCTATTAGGGGCTGGATGCTCTGGAGAATGAAGACTTCATAGAGACTGGATTAAAACGGGAGAAGAGACGTACTGGCTGATTGAGTCATTATATGGAGTATCTATAGAGAAGGGGGGGCCTCTCCCTCCAAATGTCCATTCTTGGAGCTTCGTTAGTGGGATTTCAGCATCAAGCAAGGCTGGGGATTGTTGCACAAGCATAGGCCTCAGTTCAGCTGCGCTGTGCGCCGCGTGGTTTCCTGTGTTGCGTAAGCGAGCTCTTTGACCCGGGCCGTACAGCTGTCCTGTGGAGCGACAATGCCGGATTGTGTTTCTCGTGGCAGGCCAAGAGCGGAATTTTGAGAAACGTGAAGAATTCCGACTTCTCCTGAACTCCGGCTTGCAGCAGGTGGTCAGCTGGGCCTTGGGCGGCCGCTCAGCTCTGTGGACACGCATGTCTGCGGCCCCCTTTAGGAGGTGGGGAGGCTGGCCCGCCTGGTTGCTCTCCCAGCAGGATGGGTCACACCGTCCACATGCTATCTATTGTGCTGCTGTCAGCTTCCAGATCCCCGGAGAGCCGGTTGGATTGTCGCGGGCCTCAGGGTCCGTCCTCACTCACGGTCTGGGAGGTGTGGGGGAGGGTAACCAGCGGTCGAGGGGCGAGACGGGGTTGGCGACACCCCCCGAAATCTAAGAGGCAGAACGAAGGGGCCCCAAGTCAAACGAGGGCAGGTAGACAAGCCCAGCTTGACTGTCAGTAACCGTCACCGTCAGCATGAGTGCATCTCAGGACATCATTACAGAGTTTTGTCCGTCACACTCAGAATTAACAGGCGGCCGAGTTCCTGCTAGTGGTGAAAGATTGTCACATTTTCTGTAACCGTTTGTCCTATTCAGGATCACGGGGGGGCAGAACCTATGGGCTCAAGGCAGGGAACAAAGTAGGATTGGGCGCCAACCCATAGCAGGGCATAGCAGGGCATAGTCACACACCTATGGGTCATTTGGTAACTCCAATTAACCTCAGCATGTTTTTGGATTGTGGCGGGGGGGGGCGGGGGGACCAGCCGACACAGAGAGTACAAGCTCCACACACAGAGCCACGGT